TGTCCTTATTAACCCCGGGTTTGCGGAAAGGGGAACAATGGCAAAATTCCCCCACAGCTGGGGAAAAAAATCCTTGTCCCCAATAAGATTAAAGAGGGAAAAGAGGACTAAAAGGGCTGACGATGTAAATGTTGTAACATACAATATAAACGCCCGCAGGTCCAGCTGCCGTTGTTTTCAGCAAGCTGAAGCGTTGCCTCTATTTTCTTAAAGGTTTTAAAAGGCAATTATACTGTTCTTTTTTTGAGAAAAGGGAAAAACCCAAAGGGGTACTAACTCTCGGGCAGACTTTGGGAAAGAAACGGGGGGCTAGATGGACCCCCGGGGGGAAATATGGCCCAAAATGTTTTCCAAATTTTCAATGGAAACTCGAGAGGGTTTTTTAAAATTTCCAACCCAGGGCCCCGTTGAACGGAAAGGGGGTCAGGAGGTTTTTTCCCCTAAATTTTTCCCATTTTTTTTCCAGACTGCACTCATAGTAGCAGGGGGTGATGGGGGGAAACATAGTCTCGCCAACAAGTGTTTTTTAGTTTCACGGATGAAAACGGGAGCGATCGCACGTTTCCCCGCTTAAAAATCAAGAAGTCTCTCAGGGGTTTTCTATTGTACCGGTCCCTTTCCCCCAAGCACGCGTTTAAAACGTACGCAGGGCCCAAAGAGGAGACCCCCAAGGCACGCACTTCTGAAAAAGCTCCCTGAGGTTTTGGGGGTAAAAGTTTGAGAACCCCTTTTTAAAAAATTAACGTCGAAAAAGGGGTGTAGGAGCTCTTTCAATGGAGGTTTAAAAAAAAGGGGAACCTCACAAAAAGCAGTAAAGGTGTGAGAAAAAGACCCAAATTTTCCCCATCAAATTCCCAAAGCGAGGGTTTCCGGAAAAAAAAAAGGGGGGGGGAATGGGAAAAAGAAAGGGAATAAAGGGGAAAAATGTTCACTGCAGGTAAGCCGGTAGAACAGACCAGGGGGAATTCTGGGCATTTGGAGGAAGAGCAACGATAGATCGATGCAAGAGGGGGTATGAGTACGGGGAAATAAAAAAAAATGGGGGGGAACCCGATTTAAAACATGGGGGGGGTGAGAGGCGAGAAAAGCCCCAATGGATCCCATTTGAGTCACAAAAAACCCCCCCCCAGAGGAAATGGGGGGCTTTAAAAAATCCCCAAGTAACGAAGTGGGGGGTGGAAAAGGAGGGAAACAAAAAGGGCCCAAAGTCGGGGAAAAGGGAAAATGCTCGAGAAGGGAGGGGTATAAAAAAAACCCAATTGAAAACCCCTTTTAAATTAAAGTGGATACAGGTTTGCAGGTAAGGCAGAAAGGGTTGGACAAATATTTGACAGAAAGGAATATCATTGTGTAGAAGAAGGGCATTTTCTTTAAAAAGGCCCCATCTGGAAAGGGGATCCGAAGAATACAATAAATTATAGCCGGGAAAAAGGGGTTGGAAAAGGGGTTAAAAAAATAAAACCAGGGTGGGGGGCATTGGAAGACTTTTCAATTAGCGAAGGAACGGAGGGTGCGAAGAATGGGGTTGTGAAGATGGGGGGGGAGGGAAAAAGAAAAGGGAAACGGGAAATAAATTCGGCCAAATTAAAGGGTTTTTGGGCCTGAAAATTATGAAATCTGAAATGGTTTCCAGTTTTTTCTGTTTTCAAAGATTTTGGGGAGATCATATTGGAGATAAAAGGGAGGAGGGGGGAGTAAAATTTGGGGACAGAAAATGGCCCCCCAAAAGTAAGGGGGGGGGAAAAGAGGCAAGGGTTTTTTATTTTTTTTTTTTGGAGTTTAAGTGGGGGGGGGGGGGCAGAAGGGGCAGAAACCTGGGGGGTGGCAAAAGAGGGAGAAATTTGGGGAAAGGGGACGGGGGGGGAAAGGGCATATACGGGGAGGAGGGTGAATCTCCCAATTTAATAGAGCCAGAAAAGGGGGGAAGAACTAGGTCGAGGGCTGGGAAAAATAAAATGTGGAGGTGGAAAAAAGGAAGGAAGGGGGGAAAGGGAAAATTTGAGCAATGTGGATTTTTTGGGCTTTGAGAAGTAGAGGGGCGATTGGTATTAGGTGTCGTAACCCAAGGGCTTGTCGATACTGGGGGTTTGAGGGAAGGGCGCGAAAATTGAGAAAAAGACTGAGGGTTTTAGTCGGGAAAATCAGAGCCAAAGGGCAGCAAAAGGATTGATCCGGGGTGGGAGGGGGGGTTTAAAAAAGAGGAGGCTGCAGAAGATGGGGCCTCAAAGTGGGGGGGGTTTGGAAAAACAGAATAAGAAACCGGGGTAGTCTTCCTTGGGGGCGGAAAGAGCCCAAATTCCATAGCATAAGGGAGACCTTCTGCCTCTTTTAGGCAACGATTTCACGTTTATTTAAGTAACCTGGCAACGGCGGGAGTTGAAGGGTGAGCTTCATGACAAAATTTAAGGGAAAATGGAGGTTTGGGCTGCAAGATGTATTTAAAAGGCGTCGGGACCCCAACTGGGCATTTGGCCAAAAGATCGCCCCAATTTTTTCCTGGGTGGGCCAAAACGCCAGCCCAAATTTTTACATGTTGCGGTGAAGGGTAACACCTTTCGAATTTTAAAAACCCAGGGCCCCCGACATATACCGAGGACGGGAGTTCTCGGCTGTCCCAAAAATTGAACAAACCCATTTTCAAGGGGAACGTCTCCCCCCCCCGGGCAGGGAAAGGGCTAAGTTTACTTGAGGATTTGGGGGATCCCGGGGTTCCCGCTGTTCAAGAATTTTCATTTTCCACATGACTGGAAATTCTGTCCGGGTAATGGTTTTTTTTTTGGGGCAGAATGACAGTACCATACAAAATTTTTGGGGAAAGGGTGTTTTTTTAATAGTGATTGGAAATAGTATCGATATTCGAAAGGAGGGAAAGTCTGAGCTTGGGGAGCATTCTGGACAGTGACGATCCGTACCCCTCTTTAGAGCAGAAATGAAAAAATCTCTACCAACATGAGAGGAGGCTTTGCCCAAAACTAAAGGTCAGAAAAGGGAGGCCCGAAGAAAAGTTGGTCTTAAAGTTTAAAAAATTTAGTCCATTGTGTGGGGCCGAAACTGAGCGTGGAGAGGGATTTCTAGACGTGTCGGTCTTTTCCCAGGAGGGAAAGGGAAAAGGGAACGAAGGAGCTCTCAGGGATTGGGCCCCTTTGGGGTTTTTGGGTAGGGCCGGGGTTGGTCCCCGGGGGTGAAATGGGCGGGCGATTCGAAAAAATTTCCGTACTGTAGAGGGGAACCGGAAGTTTGGGCAAAGGAGGAGCTGAGTTCAGACAAATCGAAGGAGTCGTCGAAAACCCCCGGGACCCGAAGCAGGGGGAGGAAAAAGCAAACCCGTAAAGGTACAGGGGATCAGGAGTGGGCCGGGAAAAATTCTAAACCAAGGCCGGGTCCCCGAATGGGGGGCGGGGGCCTAAAGGGGCCCAGGATAGTGGTTCATGGATTTGGGTTTTCCATGGTTTTGGTTACTCCCTTTTCTTTTTGTTTTTAAGAAAAAAAAAGAAAAGAAGAAAAGAAAATAAAAAAAAAAAAAAGAATAAAAAAAGGGGGGGGCGGGGGGGAATGTTTTCCCCGGGGGAATGAAAGGGCCCAAAACTCCCTCCGCGCCCCGAGGACCTCAGGGCCGCTAGTAGCGCAATGCAGCATGGAACCCGTGCCTTTCCCTACCCTTTATCCAGTAAAACCAGCAAAACCGGGGGTAGGGGAAACCCCCCATCTGCCGAGCACCCCGGGGGACAAAAGAAGGGGGGGGATATCCCCACAAAGCATACCTCCTTCGGGGCCCCCCCCCCCCAAAAACCCCCCGGTCCGAAAAAAGGGGTTCCAGAGATACACCCTCCCCCAAAAGGGGCACCCAAAGCTTTCTCCGGGATACCCGGGGAGGGATCCCGGGCATCCCCCGGCGATCCAATTCCAAGGGAAACCCACGCCCCCGCCCAAAAACTTTAAAGGGAAAGGGGTTTGGGGGCCCCCGGGGTCCTTTCCCCTACCTAGGGAAATAGCCGCCTGTGGGGGGGAAAACCCAGAGGCCAAAAGAGGAAGGGGGAAAAAGGGGGGGGTGGGGGGAGGGGGAGGGGAAAGGAAAAAAAGGGGGGGGATGGGATAGGGGAGGGGGGGAAAAGGGGGGGAAAATTTGTTCGGTTTGAGGGAAAAAACCCACAGGTCTAATTTCCCCAGACCAGAGCCTTTTTCACCACGCCAAGGGGGCCCCCCTTAAAAAGGCCCTTTAAAACAAAAGGCCCCCCACTTGCATTAAAAGGGGGAAATCTCATCCCGGGGAATTAAAATAACCCGAAATTTACTTAATCCTTTCACTCGGAAGGGGGGGTGAGGAAGTTGGGAGCTTTGGGCCATCTGAACTGTGGGGCTTGGGATCCCTTTTTGACAAACCCGTTCCCAAATGACAGTGAAAGTGTTAAGATGGTTTTTTTAAAAACCGATAAGTTTTAAGAATGGAAAACTTGTGCAAAATTTGGAATCTTTATGAAAAAGTTTCACCCCCTTCTTCAACTTGTCGGGTTTTAAAAAACCCTTTTTCCCTCACACCCGTGAGACACTGCAACAACTTTGGGAAACTTTAAAACCTTTGGGTGCAAAAAGTTTCCTTAGTCAAATTCCCCCCTGTTGAAAAATGTTCAATTTTTCGACAGTGAATGTCTTTTTTTTTTTCCTTTTTTTTTTTCATCACCCCTTTCCCGGGGGGGAGACAGCCGGAGGGTTTTTTAAAAAAATTTTTTTCATTTGGGTTTTTTCTTTTTTCTCTTCCATCAGATGCTGTATAAATCCTTATGCAAATCTACACTGTTCTTTCTTTAAGGGTGTATTTTGATACCAGTGAAAGGCTGTTGGTCCAGGAAGCTTGGATCCACCTTCCCTCATGACCTCCCATTCGTTAGGTACTGTTTGCCCTTGCAGGTTTATCGCTCCCCCATGAAATTAATGATAATATTCATTAGCTTTTTTGCACTGCTTTTTTTTTATACTGTTTTAAGGGTAATTTAAAGAAATGCCACTTGTAAAGAATGTATATTTTTGGCTAGCTTGCCACCATTTATCACAAGCAAATATCACATAATACAAATTTTCTTTCGTAGAAATAACTTTGCCTTAGGTTACCTACAAAATAATTGCATAATTTTAACTTCATTATATAAATGAGAACCTTTAAGCCTATTTAACTTTACTATGTACATTAATGTATTTTACAGTGAGCTCTGCAGAACTCTCTAAAATGCTTATCTAGAAATAGAAATTAAAACAGTTTATTCCCACCCTATATTTCTACTTGAAATAAGATAAGAATCAAATTAACTATATGTAAAAGTATAAATATACAAATCTGTTGACATGTGGTCTACCTATTTTGAATTGTATTTACATATTTTTCATAATCTTCATGTAAATTAGAGAAAGCTTATGACAGTTGATGCAGATGCATACACAAGATTAAGTTAAAAGAATCCAATCTGAGGAGTTTGTTAGAAGTAAAGGGTTTATCTAGAGGGATTAGGCATGAGGTAGAAGCCGAAGAGATGTTGACTTGAGGTCAAGTTGAGGTAGGAAGTGAATATTTGTTGTTGAAGTGAGTATTTAATATTAATGGATTAGTGATACACTCTTGTGGAAAATTAGGTTTATGAATGATTTAAGAGAAACACTTTTGCAGGCCTACTATCCCAGATTTGTCAGGTCATTCTCAAATCCAATCCTTCCCATTCACCAAGAGACTTGCTTAATGCAAACTCCCTCTATGACTTTAAAAGATACTAATCTATAGCATTAACCATGATGTTGATTTTACACCTTTACTAACCCTCAACTTTGCTATCCCCAGCCCATTCAACTTTACCCACCTCTTCACTGTATGATCCATAAGAGTTTGCCATATATTGTTAATATAATATCATGGTTGGTTAACATACTTATAAATAAGGTTATAAAAACAGTGAATCTTAGGGTTTTGAGAAGAGGTATGGGATTAAGATAATGAAAGTGGGAATTGTCACAGTTGCTCTTTGCTGATGACACCTTTTGGGAGATTCTGAAGAACTTTGCAAAGATTGGTGGAGGAATTTTGAAGGGTATGTAAAAGAAGGAAATTAAGTGAACATAGAAAATAGCAAGGTGATGGGAGTAACAAAATGTCTAGAAAATGAAAATCAGATTGGAGGGAATATGGAGGAAGTGAATGTATTTGGACATTTTAGAGTGGACATGTCGACAAATGCAGCTTTGAAAGACAAAATGAATCACAGAGTAGACAAGAGAAGAAGATTGGTGGTGTTGAAGTATCTATGGAAAGAAGAAAGTTGATGGAGGCAAAAATGGGGAATATATCAGAGTATAGTGGTACCGACACTGTTGTATGCGTGTGAGGCATGGGTTTTAAACTTTGCGGTGAGGCGGAGACTGGAGGCAGTGGAGATGCATTAGCAATTTTTTTGTGTGGTGAGTATTATGCAGGCAATTAGGAGTTTGGAGATTAGAAGATAGTGTGGAGTTATCACAAGTATAATTCAGAGACTGAGGAAGGGTTGTTGAGGTGGTTTAGGTATTGAAAAAAAAGATGGGGCAGAATAGGGTGACTGAGAGGGTTTATAAATCTGGGGTGGAAGGTTAGGGAACAACTCAATAAGGGCTGGAAGGAGGGAATCAAGATTGAAGTGGAGACAGATAATTTTTATGGCTAGACATGCTATTGAAGTGCCAGCAAAGAAACATGAAGGGATTCAGGGAAACTGGTTAGCCAGACTTGAGTCACAGAGGTGGGAAGTGCAGTTCCCACACACTGTAGGACGGGTGAGGTTGTTACAGTTTAGAGGGTCACCTGAACTGAAATATCAGCAGTGAATGACTTTCCCCCCCTTTTTTTAGGAGGTCACTCTACCTCAATGAGAAAATGCAATGTTAAAAAGATAACAGTATTAATAATAATGATAAAAATAATTAATTATAGAACTGGCATGAAGCTGGCATAGTCAAGCGGAATGAATGAATGGAAATGGCAGATTGAATGAGAGCCATATAACACTGTGGAATATGATGGCTGTCCTGAGGGAGTACATATTCAAGAGGAGTGTCCTGAGGAAATACCTGGGTGAAAGGGATGCACTGAGACAATACCTATACAAGAGATGCTGTAAAATTACTTGTGTGAGAGGGATACTGTGAGGGAGTACCTGCATGAGAGAGAGAGAGATGCTGTTCAGCTGTACATATATTGAAGTGTTGCAGAAAAATGTACCAAGACCAGACTTTGTGGATCCTTTTTAAGCAGTGTAAGGAGACATTAGGCTAACTAGTTAAAAACAAATACAATTGATGTACAGGGTACAGATATGATGTAATTTCATTTAAAAAATAGTGAAATAAAGTTGTCTAGTGAACACCATTCACCCCATTCCCCCCTTTTCTTCACTTGAGAATGGGAGCCCAAATATCTTGTAATATGTAAATATAAAACTTGTGCCAAGACATCAAAATAATGTAGAAAGGGATAAGTTTTATTTTCACCTGACTGTTTTTTGGAGGTAGGCAGTATTTTATACAGGGTGATGATTATAACTGGATTGAGAAATTTCTGCAAAGATGAAGAATATTATACACTCCTACAGTAATATAGAGTAAATAATAAAATAAATACAGGAAATGGAGAAGAGATATAAGAAATCTAATTGCATATCTGTATATTTTATGAAACCTCACTATTATTCTCCCTGAGGTCAAAGTGTTAAATCACTGTGGACAAATCACATAGAATGATTCTGTATAAGCCTTCCCGTCTGTGTGTATCATGACCATGTGTCCTGAGTGAGCATCACTAGTGGTCTGAGTGGTCATATTTGTGGGAGTTTGGACGGCTGTGGACTGAGCAACGGTCACATGTGGAGTTATGACATGACTGGCAACTTGGGTGACTGCTGGAGTTGATATGATATGACTGTTGCTGGGAATGCTATGTGAAGCTCCACTGTTTGCTGAGATGGTATGAGCTGTTAAGTTACCTTGAATGTTATGCGTACTTACGCTATTTCCTGAAATTGTATGTGTTGCCATGGTATTGGCTGAGATAGCTTGGGCTGTCATACTATTACTTTGAATAGTGTGGACTGTTGCATTACTGTGTGATGGTTGAAGGCATGTCCCTAGAGTTGTTAGGGGAAGATTAGTGTTTATTTGATTATTAACTTGAACTGCATGCGTAAAAGAGCTTAAAGCCTGTGTTGACTGATGTGGCTGGTGAGCGGTTGCATTTGATGTAGACGATGGTATGGGTGTAGATATGTTATTAGGCGTAAGGTAAGGTGGAGTCAACCTGTCACTGTGTTGGTTATGTATACCAAGAGGCTGTTGATGAGTGGGACAGGACAATACCTTAATGTAATTGATCATATGGTCTATGAGAGCATCCTGTTCATCTGAATAATTATCACTGGCTGACTGAGGCGTGTCTAACACTGGAAGACGAGTTGGTCTATCATATAAAAGTTTAAATGGGGAGCCAGGAGTATTTTTTTGATGAAATGTTCTATATGCTAAAATTACATGATGTAAGTAAATATCCCAGTAATACTGATTTTGATTGCTGTATTTGATCAAGGCAGCCACACAAAGGAGAATTATAACAAGTGGTTCAGGATACCCGTTTTGATTTGAAAGGAGTAGAGCAGATATTCCGTAAGAATGGCCTGCATTGTTGTACACAATTTTTTCTGTTAACCAAGCACAAAATTCATCATGATTGTGTTTCGTCATTATTTCTTCAATGGACCCGTGACGGCATATAGTTTCAGCTAGGAAATTTCCAACAGTGTCTGTTGTAAATTCAGATACTGCCAGTGCTTCTACCCACTTTGTCACACAGTCTGTCAATATGACAATATATCTTTTTCCCTTGTGTGTTTCACTCAGTGTTCCAATAACATCAAGACCACAGTGTGCCATAATGTGATCTCTGAGCACTAATGGCTGTTGCATAGTTTGCTGTGGTACAGCAGTTTCACATTTAAATACACTACATACAGGTTCCTGGGGAGACGGAACACTGGGTTCTAAAATATTACCAATTACATCTAGTCCTATCTGCTCAATGGCCTTATCTACAATTTTCTCCGTTGACTTTAGATAGAGTCCTCCATCAGATTCTGCTTGAGCTGTGCTGGCATGTCGCAACGAATTATTTTGCTGATTACCTTGTTCAGTACAGGTTTGACATTCTATCTTGACATATCATAACATCTTTTGCTATTTGACTTTCCAGTAGTAGTTGGTGCTGATTTTTTTAAGTCTGCAAAGATATACAAATATGGAAAAATATGTATTAAATGTATCATTGAATAAAAGAAAGAAATATTTCCTATTATATTGGACACTGAACTGCAATTTCTAATGTGAAGCATTTTGCATTACAAGCTGACCATATTGCTACAATACTCATTAAACAGGTTATGTGCTATTGCAGTATTTTTATATTATTTTTTTATCCAACTGAACACAGATTTTAAAAAACTGGAGGATCATTTTAAGTAAAAATAATAGTGCAGGATATTAACTTTTAAGTTTAGATTACTGTCGCCAATACATTATGAAAAAGGGGTTTATTCCTCAGTTAAGCAGCGCGGGGATGGGGTTGGGTCGGGGCTGTATTGTTGGCGGGGCCGAGGGTGGGGCGAGGATAAGTCGGGGAGCGGAGAGGTGTGCAGAGACGATATAATGGGGGGGGGCTGGTTGTGGTTTACAGGCGGGTGGGATGACTAGATGATGGTTTTTATTGTATATGGTGGTGTAGTATATGAGATGATATTATGGTGTATTCTGAATTCAGGGTACAGGGAAAGACAGGGGGCACATTAGCATATAATGCGTAATAATCATGTGAATCGATTAGGACCAACTCTATGGCCGGAGCGCCGCCCTCTGGCTGTAAGTGGTTAGATTCAATTATTTTTCTTTTATCCTTGACGCCCCGTACTGCTTCAAGCGCCCCATACTTCTTATGGTTGTAATAGAGCTGGTCCTTACAGTACGTAAATGGTCGACACTTCTTTCGCCAGTTGCTGCGGCTGTCTTTGCTCTTGATGTTCTCTGGGTATTTGCTCTTTGAGAGATAGGTCAGTATCTCGTCAAATTCTTGTTCATCCATTGCTGTGGATCCATGGAAATTGTGGTATGTAATTAAATCATTTCTTTATATATGCAGCTAACATACAATCTTTATTAAAAAAAGCTATTTTAAGAACATAAATGAAACTATTTGTGAAACAAAGATTTTTTTTAAAACCGGTAAAACTAATCAAGAAACATTCAATTATTTTAGAAACTATCATTAAACTTTTTGATGTTTGATTATGCTTCTAAAATACAACAACTTTATCAGGCAAACACACAAAGTATATTAAGTACGAAAAATTTAGTCTAAACTGTTAATTACATTGTAATCTTAAGTTAGCCTTAAGCTTGCCTGAAATGCTCTACATAACTGGGTTTTCTGCATGTACAAATAAATGCTACACATCTCTGTACAAATACCTGGAGAGGGTTCCGGGGTCAATGCCCCTGTGGCCCGGTCCGTGACCAGGTCTCATGGTGGATCAGGGCCTGATCAACCAGGTTGTTACAAACACTATCATGCTGAAATAAAATTATTTAGATGACTGTCAGCTCAGTAGTAGAGCATTCCATCTCAAAACTGAAAATGCTTGGGTTCATATCCGGAGCATGGCAAGACATAGAGTTCATACATTGGCTTGTGTACAGTCAGCAGTAATAGCCTGGTTGATCAGGCCCACCAGTATACCCCAGGTATACTCTAGGAAGAGTTAGTAGCCTAGGATGCCACAAGAAAGCTAAGCAGTGTGGCTCATTTACAGTGGGATCCTTCAGGATGTTTATTGGGCCCTGGTAGGCAACGCTCTCACCTCACACACTGAGTGTCTGTGGTTCAATCCCCAACCAGGTGGAAACATTGGGTGCATTTCCTTACACCTGCTGTTACTGTTTACCTAGCGAGTTAGGTACAAGGGTGTTAGTGGACTGGTGTATTATTTACAGTGCCCCGTAGCCTGGTGGCAAAAGCTCTCGCTTCATACGGTGAGGATCCGGGTTCAATTCCCGGTAAGGGTGGAAATATTGGATGTGTTCCTTACACTGGTTGTTTATGTTCACCAATCAGTAAAATAGGTACCTGGGTGTTAGTGGACTGGTGTGGGTTGCATCCTGGGACAAAACTGACCTGCATAACAAGCAGCTTTCTATATAGTTGTATGTCATTGATGTCAGCTAGGCCTGTATACCTTGTACATGTACTTGTAGTAAATAATTGCATTTTTATAATCAAGGGGGGGGGGATGTGGAAAGTATTCAGGCTTAATTCAGGGAACTGGAGCACAGACCCAATTCCCTAGATCAAGAGCCCCTCACCAGCGTCAAGGAACCTTCCTTGAGAGGTGGACTGGTGTAACGTACTGGAGTATACCCGGAGAGTTGTTTCGGGGGTTAATGCCCCTGTGGCCCGGTCTGTGACAAGGCCACAGGGTGGATCAGGGCCTGATCAACCAGGCTGTTACTGTTGGCTACACACAAATTGATGTAGGAACCACAGCATGGCTGATCAAGTACTGACTTTGGGTGCCTGTCCAGAGCCTTCTTGAAAACAGCCAGGGGTCTGTTGGTAATCCCCCTTATGTATGCTGGGAGGCAGTTGAACAGTTCTGGGCCCCTGACATTGTGTTCTCTCTTATCATGCTAGTGGCGCCCCTGCTTTTCATTGGGGGGATGCTGCCGAAGTAGTGTACTCACCAGTACACGAGTGAGGGCAGCAGCAGGCAGCCCTCCAGGTGAGTTACATGGAGGTAGTGTACACTCACCAGTACATTGAGTGAGGCAGCAGCAAGGCAGCCCTCCCCAGGTGAGTTACATGGAGGCAGTGTACTCACCAGTACACGAGTGAGGGCAGCAGCAGCCCTCCAGGTGAGTTACATGGAGGTAGTGTACTCACCAGTACATGAGTGAGGGCAGCAGCAGGCAGCCCTCCAGGTGAGTTACATGGAGGTAGTGTACTCACCAGTACATGAGTGAGGGCAGCAGCAGGCAGCCCTCCAGGTGAGTTACATGGAGGTAGTGTACTCACCAGTACATGAGTGAGGGCAGCAGCAGGCAACCCTCCAGGTGAGTTACATGGAGGTAGTGTACTCACCAGTACATGAGTGAGGGCAGCAGCAGGCAGCCCTCCAGGTGAGTTACATGGAGGTAGTGTACTCACCAGTACATGAGTGAGGGCAGCAGCAGCCCTCCAGGTGAGTTACATGGAGGCAGTGTACTCACCAGTACACGAGTGAGGGCAGCAGCAGGCAGCCCTCCAGGTGAGTTACATGGAGGTAGTGTACTCACCAGTACATGAGTGAGGGCAGCAGCAGCCCTCCAGGTGAGTTACATGGAGGTAGTGTACTCACCAGTACATGAGTGAGGGCAGCAGCAGGCAGCCCTCCAGGTGAGTTACATGGAGGTAGTGTACTCACCAGTACATGAGTGAGGGCAGCAGCAGCCCTCCAGGTGAGTTACATGGAGGTAGTGTACTCACCAGTACATGAGTGAGGGCAGCAGCCCTCCAGGTGAGTTACATGGAGGTAGTGTACTCACCAGTACATGAGTGAGGGCAGCAGCCCTCCAGGTGAGTTACATGGAGGTAGTGTACTCACCAGTACATGAGTGAGGGCAGCAGCAGCAGCCCTCCAGGTGAGTTACATGGAGGTAGTGTACTCACCAGTACATGAGGGCAGCAGCAGGCAGCCCTCCAGGTGAGTTACATGGAGGCAGTGTACTCACCAGTACATGAGTGAGGGCAGCAGCAGGCAGCCCTCCAGGTGAGTTAAATGGAGGTAGTGTACTCACCAGTACATGAGTGAGGGCAGCAGCAGCCCTCCAGGTGAGTTACATGGAGGTAGTGTACTCACCAGTACATGAGTGAGGGCAGCAGCAGGCAGCCCTCCAGGTGAGTTACATGGAGGTAGTGTACTCACCAGTACATGAGTGAGGGCAGCAGCAGCAGCCCTCCAGGTGAGTTACATGGAGGTAGTGTACTCACCAGTACATGAGTGAGGGCAGCAGCCCTCCAGGTGAGTTACATGGAGGTAGTGTACTCACCAGTACATGAGTGAGGGCAGCAGCCCTCCAGGTGAGTTACATGGAGGTAGTGTACTCACCAGTACATGAGTGAGGGCAGCAGCAGGCAGCCCTCCAGGTGAGTTACATGGAGGTAGTGTACTCACCAGTACATGAGTGAGGGCAGCAGGCAGCCCTCCAGGTGAGTTACATGGAGGCAGTGTACTCACCAGTACACGAGTGAGGGCAGCAGCAGCCCTCCAGGTGAGTTACATGGAGGTAGTGTACTCACCAGTACATGAGTGAGGGCAGCAGCAGCCCTCCAGGTGAGTTACATGGAGGTAGTGTACTCACCAGTACATGAGTGAGGGCAGCAGCAGCAGCCCTCCAGGTGAGTTACATGGAGGTAGTGTACTCACCAGTACATGAGTGAGGGCAGCAGCAGGCAGCCCTCCAGGTGAGTTACATGGAGGTAGTGTACTCACCAGTACATGAGTGAGGGGCAGCAGCAGGCAGCCCTCCAGGTGAGTTACATGGAGGTAGTGTACTCACCAGTACATGAGTGGGGGCAGCAGCAGGCAGCCCTCCAGGTGAGTTACATGGAGGTAGTGTACTCACCAGTACATGAGTGAGGGCAGCAGCAGCCCTCCAGGTGAGTTACATGGAGGCAGTGTACTCACCAGTACATGAGTGAGGGCAGCAGCAGCAGCCCTCCAGGTGAGTTACATGGAGGTAGTGTACTCACCAGTACATGAGTGAGGGCAGCAGCAGCCCTCCAGGTGAGTTACATGGAGGCAGTGTACTCACCAGTACATGAGTGAGGGCAGCAGCAGGCAGCCCTCCAGGTGAGTTACATGGAGGTAGTGTACTCACCAGTACATGAGTGAGGGCAGCAGCAGCGCCTCCAGGTGAGTTACATGGAGGCAGTGTACTCACCAGTACATGAGTGAGGGCAGCAGCAGGCAGCCCTCCAGGTGAGCTACATGGAGGTAGTGTACTCACCAATACATGAGTGAGGGCAGCAGCAGGCAGCCCTCCAGGTGAGTTACATGGAGGTAGTGTACTCACCAGTACATGAGTGAGGCAGCAGCAGCCCTCCAGGTGAGTTACATGGAGGTAGTGTACTCACCAGTACATGAGTGAGGGCAGCAGCAGGCAGCCCTCCAGGTGAGTTACATGGAGGTAGTGTACTCACCAGTACATGAGTGAGGGCAGCAGCAGGCAGCCTCCAGGTGAGTTACATGGAGGTAGTGTATTCACCAGTACATGAGTGAGGGCAGCAGCAGGCAGCCCTCCAGGTGAGTTACATGGAGGTAGTGTACTCACCAGTACATGAGTGAGGGCAGCAGCAGGCAGCCCTCCAGGTGAGTTACATGGAGGTAGTGTACTCACCAGTACATGAGTGAGGGCAGCAGCAGCCCTCCAGGTGAGTTACATGGAGGTAGTGTACTCACCAGTACATGAGTGAGGGCAGCAGCAGGCAGCCCTCCATGGTGAGTTACATGGAGGTAGTGTACTCACCAGTACATGAGTGAGGGCAGCAGGCAAGCCCTCCAGGTGAGTTACATGGAGGTTAGTGTACTCACCAGTACATGAGTGAGGGCAGCAGCAGGCAGCCCTCCAGGTGAGTTACATGGAGGTAGTGTACTCACCAGTACATGAGTGAGGGCAGCAGCAGGCAGCCCTCCAGGTGAGTTACATGGAGGTAGTGTACTCACCAGTACATGAGTGAGGGCAGCAGCAGCCCTCCAGGTGAGTTACATGGAGGCAGTGTACTCACCAGTACATGAGTGAGGGCAGCAGCAGCAGCCCTCCAGGTGAGTTACATGGAGGTAGTGTACTCACCAGTACATGAGTGAGGGCAGCAGCAGGCAGCCCTCCAGGTGAGTTACATGGAGGTAGTGTACTCACCAGTACATGAGTGAGGGCAGCAGCAGGCAGCCCTCCAGGTGAGTTACATGGAGGTAGTGTTGTGTCTCCTGAGTTTATTCTCCCGTGGCCCTCCAGCGCTGCCAACCCCGTCAGCTCCTTCCTGTCCCTGCTGT